AAATAAAAATAAATAAATAAATAAAAAAAAAAAGAATAATAATAATAATAATAATAATAATAATAATAATAATATATACTCGTTGTTTCGAAAATGAAATATGAATAAAATCCCTATTTATTTATTTGTTTCTTTTTTTTTCAAATTATTTCATTGTCTCAAATATAGAGAAAGAAAGAAGGACCATCGACGTTTATGTACGTTTAGGATAATTCAATTAGTATTAATAAATGAATAAAATAAAATAACACTAAATAAATTAAATTAAATTAAATAAAATAAAATAAATAAATAAATAAATTAATCTTACGTTACATATTGTATAGTATTCTCTATCTCGTCTCTCTTAAAATTAGTTAAGTTATGTGTGTGTTGTTTGTCTGTATATAATATGTGCATGCGTGTATGTTGTGTGTGCAAGTACACGAAAAAATCGGTGCAGAATTACGTTTCTCTTTTATAATAGCTATTGTATATGCACATTATTTAGTACGGAACGTTATAAGCAGGCAGACAATCTTGGAAAATGATATGGTGACAATAGAAAAAGAAGATAAAGAAGAAGAAGAAGAAGAAGAAGAGGAGGAGGAAGATGATATAAAGAATTAAATAAAGAAAGAGAAAGAGAATGGTGTGAGAGAGAGAGGCAAAGGGAATTTTCATGAAACGACTCGTTGTCGTCGTCGTCTTACAAGGAAAAAGGATTGTTTTCAAATTCTCGAATTTTATTGCAGGACTTTTCGCTAAAAAATAAACTCTCTTCTTATCGTATATGAGAGACCGATAGAATTGTGTATCTCGACTAATATATATATACACATATGTACATATATTATACATATATATATATATGTGTATGTAAATGTACGTGTACGAGGATTGGACAATCATAGAAATTTGAAAGGAATGATGGCCTCGATAAATGAGAAATATTTCGAATATGTGTGTACTTTTTTATGTTTGATTGGTATTACATATTTATATTAATATATATGATAATGATGATGATGATGATGATGATGATGATGATGACCGAAAGTTTACTAATTCGAAGAATTATTGACAGAACAATGAAAGGTTCGAAAAAGACGAAGAGACATTTTTGGGCATGTTCAAAAATGTTCTTGTTAGTTAATACAAATTGTGTGTGTGTGTGTGCGCGTGTATGTCTGTCTGTCTGTTTGCCTGATGCGTGTAATATGTGCGTATGTGTGTGTGTGTATGTGGGGAATTGTGTGAGGACATTCGAAAAAAAATTGGATATGTTTAAAACGAAAGTTCGTAGCGGAATTACGATCTAGATAATTGAAAGATAACGAAATGAATATGATTCAAAAGAGGAAATAATATTGCTAGGAACATTAATTATTATGCAGATGAAGAAGAAGAAGAGTAAAAAAAAAAAGGATGAAAAGAAAAGAAAAGAAAAGAAAGGAAAAGCAAAGAAAAGAAAAGAAAGAAAAAAGGGTTAATGTGTTTGCGCTCGTGTGTTCACTATCACAAGCCCTTTTTCATTATTTTCTAAGATGTATATGTATACGTTTCTCTCTTCCCTACCTCATACAAGAATTTTGCGAGTATATAGAAATATAATATGTGAGTGTTAACAAAACAAAAAAATCATCGTCAAAGGTCAAAAAAAAAAAAAAAAGAAAAGAAAAAAGGGGTGGACAAATTTTTTGTGAACCGAGAGACGAAGTTTTTTTTTCCCCCTATTTTTTATTATCGTTATTGTTGATTTTCTTTTTTGTTAATATTGTTTTTTATTTCTATACTTTTAAAAAAAATTATTATTATTATTATTATTATTATTATTATTATTATTATTATTATTATTTTTAATAATTTTGTTTTTCTTTGGGATATTATCAGTCTCCCTCTAATCGTGATTTTGGCTGTTGCCCGTTTTTCGGCACAAATATATTTGCTCGTAGTTAACCGATATTATTACGTCTTTCTCTCTCTCTCTCTCTCTATCTCTCTCTCTCTCTCCCATTCTAACTCTTTCTATATTTCTTTCTTTCTCTTTTTGTAAGTTACGTTAGCGAAAGGTAATTTTAGGACAATCTATTGTTAGTAAAAGTCGTCACGACGAGAAACCTACGCTCTTAACTTTTCAAATTGTATACACCTGTTCATTTATCCGTGCGTATGTGAGGATACGTATATGAATTAATTATTAACTCTAACGATGAATATTTTAAATTTATCCGAATTAACAATTTGGATAAAATACGTTTTTTGTTTTATTTATTATATCGAAGTATATAGATATATTGGTAATTTTTATATTTCTACGTTTTATTATT